CTCTTCTGACATCCATTCTGATTTTTCTTTCTCCTCTGTTTTTGTAATGAATGTTTTCTTCATGGATAGCATCCTTAATATCATCTCACAACTCATCTGGTCTTCTATAAGTAGCATATGATTATATAAAAATATTAATTAAAAAAACTGTGTATATTCCACTGTCCACATGTAGAAAACAGTGAACTGTGGTAGGACTTGAATGTCACAAAATGGGGAAGTTTAATTCTTTGAAGACTCTAGGGATATTTGAGAATGAGTCCGTTCTAGTAATCATTGTCTGAGTCCTTGATATGTGTTGTGATGCCTCAAAGACTCCTTCATAATGCATTTCTACCTTCTTTGAAAAAAGTATAACAGATGCTAAGCTTGTTTTGGACATTAATCATTGTAAGTGACACTTGAAATCAATGTTTGGTGGTGGTCTTCAGCCATGTTTCTCTTTTCATTAATGAAAAGTCACATGTAGAGGTGATATTCAGCAAGTCTGATTTAGGAATAATGCTTCAAGAACTAAGCGAGCTGCTCTGCCTGTACATACCATTGCTACATTTCCAGAAACACTGAGGAACGTCTGTTGATTACAGTAATATCTATAGTTCAAAGAAGAACTCAAACCACAGCTATTCCCACATCTGTTTCAGTTTTATGGTCAAGATGAATGGCTGTAATTTACATTCACTGGCATCATAAAATTAGGTTATTTTCAAACTTCTGTACATTGAAAAAGGGGAAAAGAGCTTCCTTGTACTTAGTTCTTGCACCAAATTGTAACTATCTATAGCCATAGAGGAAATATTTATAAACAAACCATCGTCATTTTCACGCTAAGCCATGATCTGGTCCTCTTTGTTCCAGTTTTCATGGTTGAGCTCCATTGTGGTTTCTTAGCAACCTTATACCCCATCTGAGAAACTCACAAGAAGGCACAGAGAAGTCAATAATAAGGGTCAAAGAGGAGCAGATGGTATAGATAAAAAGATAATGACATCATAGATTTGCACATGAACATGGCATAGAAATTATTGTTAAATGAAAACAGAATGTACTGTATAATCAGACCACCCAATAGTTATTTGTTCATTTGTGAATGAGAGCTCCTACTCTACAATCTTCCTGAGTTAAGTTTTTTTCTTTCTGTCCTTAGGAGGGTGTGTGCCAGGCCAGGCCTTCTTTCTGATCTTCTGTCCAATGCTGCCCACATCAGTCAGACACTACTGACTGTCGTTGCTTTATTCTAGGTCATGAACCAGTTTCGTTTGTGTTAAATTCTGCACTACTACAACAACTAACATGTTTAGAAGCAGAGCCAGTAAATTGCTTCATGATAAACTGTTAACATTCATCCAACACTTGGAATGTTCTTGGCTTTGTGTAATGTTCATTGCCATAAGCAATCCCATCTCACCCTTTAAAACCTTATGAAAAATACTACACTTTTCTTGTTTGGGGAAATCATAGGTATTAGATGTGTGATGTTGAACAAATTACTTAATCAGCAGTGGGGCTAGGATTAGAAGTTAAGCTTACTTAGCCTCAAAGGGCAGGACTCTACATTGTTTTTCTTTGTATGAAAGTCTAAAACTTGGAGGCACTTGGTTTGTGTGTAAATAGAATAGTCTGAAAGTAGAAACTTATGTCCTTTTGAAGGTCTTGATATGAGTCTAGAATCCATGTTTTTAAAGCTGCCTTTCCAAATGTTGCCCCTTCACATTGTTGCTGACTTAGACCATATACCTCAAGAACAATATTTTTTTAGAAGGTCTAGCCTGAGTTCTAGCAAGAGATTTAATTTATTCCCAGAGAGCCTTTACCATTATAGATAAACAAATGCAAGGTAGGTCTTGAGATGCAGTGTTACTTAAATATTTACACTAGACCTCCAGAAACAGACATGATAGAGAAAAAGTAATTTACCACAAAAATGAGTCCTGTCTTCCATCCTAAGACTAACCTGTACTAAATTGAATGGCTTATACCTTCGACCAATCCTATAATCCCACTTATAGATCTATCGCAGTCAAACTCTCTCTTCTAAATTTCCTACCTTTAAGTCCCTTGATAGTCTTTTAGTCAATTATAAATTTTGAAACCTTTGGTTCCTGATTCACAATGTAAGAACATGTCCTGTTTTGTGGTCCTTGTAGAGCAACCATTTTTACTCTGTAATAATGAACATTTCCCCAAACTAGACTATCTCTATCATTTAATATACTTCATTTGATTTTATTTAAGCACACACTGTGATATTGCTCAATGGCATCTATTGGTTTCAAAGGCTCTTCAGGATCTGTCTGTGCACCTCAACAATTACCTGAGAATATTGGCAGTTCCCCATCAATGTACTGTTACAGCTGTTTTGGGAGATCTGCAGCAGTATTTTGCTTGCATGTGATACTAATGATATTATTGTTATTATGTGCCATTGAGTCGCTTGAGACTCATAGCACCCTATGTACAACAGCTCTATACCCTGCTCTATCCTGTGCCAATCTTATTGTCTCTATTCCACTTACCCTCACTGCTCCAGTCACTGAATCAATCCATCTAATAGAGGGTCTTCCTTTCTTGCGCTGTCTCTCCACCTTCCCAAGCATGGTGTCCTTCTCCAAGAACTGGTTCTTCCATGAAACATGTCTAAACTATGTAAGATGAAACTTCAGAACCCTAGCCTCCAAGGAGCAGCCTGGCTTCATCCTCTCCAGAATGACCTGTTTGTTCTCCTATCAGTCCATGGTGTATTCCATACTCTTCTCCAGCACCACAGTTCAAAGGCATCAATTCATCTTCTGTTAGCCCTAGTCATTGTCCAGCTTTCTGACACACAGCAAGTAATTGTAAAGACCATGACCTGGATCAGGTACACCTTAGTCTTCAGATGGACATTATTGCTCCTCAGTACTTTGGAGAGGTCTCTGATGGAAGACTTTACCAATACAATACATCTTTTAATTTCCTGGCTTCTGGTACCAAAAGTGTTGATCGTGGAGCCAAGCAAACTGAAGCTGTTAAACAATCTCAATCTCTTCATCACCTATCATGATACTGTCAACTCATCCAGTTTTTCTTTGTTTTCTTGGTATTGAGTTTTAGTGTCATCTTTTGTAGCAAGCTTTTCAGGTCCACCTCAGTTTCAGCAAGCAGGCTTATGTCTTCTGCAGGTTGTTGTTCCTCCAATCCTGATGCCACATTTCTCATATAGCCCAGCCTTCCAAATAATCTATTTTGCATACATATTGAAAAGGTATGGATGTAAAACACATCCTTGGTGTACAGCCTTCTCAATTTTGAACCATGCAATGTTTCCTTGCTCTGTTCTGACATCTGCCTCCTGGTCCAAGTATAGGTTTTGCATGAAAATGATCAAGTGTTCTGGGATTCCCATTCTTCACAGAGTTAGCTACAGTTTATTGTGATACACACAGTCACATGCCTTTGCATAGTCAATGAAACAAAGATAAACATTATTCTGGTACTATCTGCTTTCAGCCAAGATCCATCTAACATATTGTACCATGGCTTCTTCTAATTCCAGCCTGCACATCTGGCAGTTCTCTGTTGATGTGCTGTTCCAGTCACTTTTTGGATAATTTTTCAGCAGAATCTTGCTTGCATGTGACACTAATGATATTGTTCGATAATTTCCACATTGTGTTGAATCACCCTTCTTGGGAATGGGAACCAGCTAGGGAGCTGTCCTCCAAATTTCCTAATCATTCTTTTGTGTGTGTGTTTTTTTTAAATGCACCCATAGCAGTCTGTTAATTAGGAAGTCACTAGACGTTTTTGTTACCACATTTAATTTGATTTCTTTCACCCCTGGTCATAGTATCTATCTAATTTTCAAGATGTTCAAATGAAAAAGAAATGCAACTCTTTACAACTGGTGAGGTACAGCAGTGGGTTTTCCCAATTTGTAATGATTAGCCTTGCTCCAGGAGGCTTTGTTTTGAATGAAATGGTAGGTCTTAGGAGAATTCCATTAAAGCTTTAAGTTAATATAATGCATTTTAGAAAGAAAACTTAAAATTGGGAATATGGGATTAGAAAATGTTTAAAACCATTTCTTTTCCTTTGGATCACTTGTTAATTGCATATTCTTTCTAAAATATTAAGTATGCTATGACTGTTATGTGCTGTCAAATCAGAACTGACTCATAGCTGACCTTGCGGTGGGTTTTCAGAGACTGTAAATAGCACAGGGGAGATTGCTTGTCTTTCTCCCACAGGGCAGCTAATGCATTCAAACCAACTGCCGTTGTATTGGTAGTGCAACTTCTTAGCACTAAGCCACTAAAGCATACACTCAGCTAATGCTCAACATGAAGCTAGCTTTTAAAACTAAGAAGTTGAATGAAGTTCTCTGTAAATCCACTCATAACCTAGCTCATTGCCATTGAGTCAGAACATGCTTATAGAAGTCCCTCCACTGGATTTTCAAGGCTATAAATCTCACAAGGAGAGGTTTCCTGTCTTTCTCCCTTAAGAGTGGATAGTGGAGGGAGCTCTGGTGGCCTAGGGGCAAGAAGCTGCACTGCAATCCCAGAGGTATGTAGTTCAAATCCACCAGATACTCTGCTGGAGAAGGAAGGGCAATCTCCTCCTGCACCAGTCAGATCCAATTTGATGCTACATAGAATTAATTTTTTTTTTTTAAGACTGGCTAGTGGATTGGAACCACCAAAGAGGTGGTTCATAACACAACTACCTATGGAGTACATCAGTCATCACTAGAGCTCCCTCTATAAACCAAACCACCAGGAAACACCTACTTAAAGAATATAAAAATGTATTTTGCTTTCCTAATCTTTTTCTTTACTAGTCTAATGTAACAGACTTTCCATTTGGTTGTCTTATTTACAGTTCAATGATAAAATTAGTCATACACATATATGGTTAGGAAAGTAATAAAAATACGAAATACAAGCATTTGTATGAAGTACTGACCCTTGATTCTGTCCCAACTACAAAAGCAGACCATTGTTCATTTTCTTTAACAGTTTGTCTGTGTTGGTGGGAGCCCTAACAGAATGAAAGCTTTTGCACTGTTAATGCAAAAGGAACTTGGGTATGAGGAATGTGGAGAAGAACTAGAAGATATCTGTGCTGGGACAGACAGATACTGCATGTACAAAACTGGCCCTGTGCTCTCCATCAGTGTAAGTACTTACTGGTTGCATGTTAACCAGTTCTCAGCAGGCAAGAGGAAAAGTGTGACTTTCTGCATGGAGGAGTGCTTTTCCCCCTCTTACACAATCACACTAAGTACCCAGGTATGAGATTCAATATTGGAAAAAGGCCTAGAGGCAGAACAAAGCGTTCAATGTCACCTGAGTTTATTAGTTACTACTTAGCTGTTGAAGTAAGGAAAAACCTTCTAAATGCATGCCTCGATCTCTTTAGTTGGTAACTTATTAACTCAATCACAATTTTCTTTTTCCTATTCCCTATCCAGCTTGGAGTGTATTGAGTTATGAGCCTGTTGTTGTTAAATGCCATCAAGTCAACTGCAACTCATGGTGATGCAATGCACAATGGCTCTGATCCTTGCCTTATCCTGAGCTAGTCTCATGATCTCAGACACACCTACCCACATTATCTCAGTTACTGTGTCAATCCATCTCATCTAGGGTCTTCCCCTTTTGTGCTGTCCCTCCGCCCTTTCCATAGTGGTACTGTTTAACCTTATAATAAGCTCACTGAAAAACTACTCAGGTATTTGTAAGGAGTCCTTGTGAAGTGTTCTCTTGCATTTAAAATGTTGAATAACTCTGGACTCACACAGTGCCCTCAGACGATATGAAAGTGAAATTATTTGCCAGTTCAGGGAGCATACAGGCCTCTTCCTAAGTGGACTAGGGTGTACATGTACACATTTTGGAAGGTGTATGTGAGTAAGCACTCAGTTTGCTATCTAATTTTTCTCTTAAAAAGGGCTGTGTTGCTAATCACTAGCTCTAAGCTCTTTCACGTAGCTGGATATTGGAGCTCTCAAAAGGGATAGGAAGTCTCTGGCTAGGAATGGCAGGAGACTGTGTTTAGAGTCTACTGTACAAGTGGGGACACTGTAAGTTATAAGTGGCTCTTATGCCAGGGAATAGTGACCATCACTCAATCGCTACCTAGTTACCCTTTGATGGAAGGATGGAGAGCATGGCTGTCAGGTTAGGATAAAGAAGGAAAGATCATTCCGTATCAATGGAGTGGATACGTTCATCTGCATTCTTAACCAAAAATGCCTACCTGCTCTGCCTCAAATGGGAGCATTCTTTAGTTTGTCTTTTATCAGACTATTATAGAATATCTACTTTAGAAGGAAGTTGAATAGCTTCCAGTGTTGGAAAATCATATTTTATTCACGTTCCCCTGACTTCTATATTATACGTATTAGTCCTTTTGTGTACAGTGTAAGTGAATAGCACAAAAATAATGTTTATTACAATTTTAAGTCAACAGAAACATGTAATTAAATCTGAGAGTAAGACATAAAAACTGTTAAAGATTGACTTTGCTTTCTTGTAAGGGAAAAAGATGTAAAATATATATCATACTGACAAGTCAGGGAGCTCTGGTGGCCTAGTGGTAAGAATCTGTGCTGCAATTCCAAAGGCACACAGTTTGAATCTACCAGATGCTCCATGGGAGAAGGATAGGCAATCTTCTCCAGTACGGCTAACTGCCTCTGAAAACCCACTGGAGGGTAAGCCAAGGGTCGGTTCTGAGTCAAGGGTACATAACAACAACAACAACAACTCACAATTCAGTCAAGAAACATTCATTTAAATAATATCAAAGCTTATTTTTAGTTTGTGATTGTCTTTCTTTGTTGATTAATGTTTGTATCTGCCTTATTTATAGATTAACAATAAAAATGAGATAATTAAAAGGTAGTTTTAAAAAAAATAGGACAATGAATGAATGGAATTCCAAAGTCTCTGTAAATGTTCATTGAAATGAAAAATAAATAAATTAATAATAAAATAAAAAAAATAGGGAGAACGTGTCTAATTAGTGCTCCTTTTTAGAAAATTCTTCATCTCCAGCAGTTGTTGAGGTAGAGGTGAGTGTATGTGAGAGAGAGAAAGAGAAAGAAGGAGAGAGGACTGACTTAAGCAGAGATACAGCCCATTTGCCATTTAACCACCATTCTGCATAATGAGTGATAACCATAAACCTAACAAACTGATTTAGCAAGCATCTAATATATCAAATAATCACCCATCTTCTTAATTTACAATTGAGGAAAATTAGGCTCAGAAAACTTATTAGTGGCAGAGTGAGTGCCAATACTCCAGAAGTGTTAATCATGGATATATGAAAGCTTATGCTTGGATTCTGGTGCTGGGGAGGGAACAATGCATTAGGAAGAAAAGATATATTCAGTGGAAGCCAAAATAGGGACATTTCAGGCTTCCACTTAGTGAATAGCTATGATTGTGAGAGGAAGGGAGCTCAGCTTAAGGCATCATGGACACAGGCCCATCCATTTTCCAGGCTCACTACTGGGAGAACTAGTGTCTGGTATCATCTATTTGAAAAGATGGTCCTGGTGATTTTCTATATTCAGGCTTTTTAACCAAGAGAAGGATATATTGAGGGCTGCACTAAAGAAGCCTATTTGACTGTTGTTTTGTTAGGTATGAAGTTATCACCAATTCTAAACTCATCACTGGCTGCTATAATTTTTCAGAATGTAAGATCTTTCTGGAGAGTTTTTGGAACATAATGCAACCATCAGGAGTCAGTAAATCTCCTAAGCTGTGTTCAATCTTGTTGTAACACTGATCCTACCACCCTCAATGTTGAAGAAAACTAGAGCTACTGTTATGACCTATAGCAACCTAACTTTATTAACACATCCAGAACAAACTCCAGAATGTTAAGCATGAATGCAGATAACTCTTATCTCTACCCTAGAACCTTTCAGGGCTCATGCAGAATTAGCAACAAGTGAACAAAGCTATTGAGAGAGATGAAATGGATTTACTGTTTCTTTTAATATAATGAGAAAGAACAGCATGACAGTTGAAGCTAAATTTCCTGACATCAAGTCAATCTTGCAAAAACCTCCTTCTTTCCTTTCCTTCCCCTTAAAGCATCACTCTAAAGACCAGAGTGGAGAGATGCCATTGCCCTGACACACTTGAAACACTGGGCAATCCAGGAGTTCTGCTTTTGACAATGAGGGCAGAACTCAACTCATGGGGAGATGCTTGTCTCTGAGGCTCCCATTGTTCAGCATATCATGTCACGTAGGCGTCCGTTAGAGATGATTTAATTTCCTCAGCATTGGCAGAGTCTTAATGATTATGTAAATGTATCTGAAGTCTGTTAACTTGTAATGAAGGGAGAAAATATGTCCTGTGCGTGTATTAGTTTTGAGATTTATAATGACTTTTCCTTTTCTCTCCACAGCATGGCATGGGCGTCCCCTCCATTTCTATTATGCTTCATGAACTCATCAAATTACTTTACCATGCTCGATGTTGTGATGTTACCATTATCCGAATTGGTACATCAGGGGGAGTAGGTGAGATGGATTGATTTCTATCATTAAAACTGAGTAACTCGAGCATAGACAATAGCTACCAAAATAGACGAAGCCTAGCAGAAATTTAAGGAACTATACCCATCTGCTCTCAACAAGATGGATTGACACAGTGTCTGCATCACTGCACTTAAGTATAATGGAGATCGTGAGGACGGCGTGGACAGGGCAAAGTTTCTATCTATTGTTATAGGGTCACTATGAGCCATAGTCATTTCAGTTGCACAAAACAATAGCAGTAACAGCACTCATATTACTTTTTCTCCAGGGAAACTTAGAAGGAGGGAGAAGAGCTACTTCATCTTGTCTAGATGGTTTTAGTTACTCATAGTGTTGTTGTTACTTTCAATAAAGTCATCCCCTTACTTATGGTGACTCGATATGCAACAATATTGGATGATTGTAATTCACAGAGTTTCTAATGTCTCCCCAGGTTGTCCTAGTCTGGGAGCCCCACTGAAACATTATAGCATTATAGCAATATGCAAGTCTTTCCTGATAAGAGAGATGTGCTTATAAGCAAGAGTTGTTTTCTTGAGGTGCATTACCAGGGAGGAGATCGAACCTGGATCTCCAGTATGTTGTTGCTTTTAGGTGCCATCGAGTGGAGTATAACTCATAGCGACCCTATGCACAATAGGGAGTAAACCTGTCTATCCTATACCATCTTCATCATCTCTGACACATTTAAGAGGACCCACTGCAGTAGCCACTATGTCAGTCCATTTAGTTAAAGGTCTTTTTCTCTTTCACCTACCCACTACCTTTCCAATTATCATGTCCCTTTCCAAGGAATAGCCTCTCCTATATGTCCAAAGTATGGGAGACAAAGCTTTTCCATCTTTGCCTTTAAGGAACATTCTGGCTGCACTTTCTCCAAGACATATTTGTTTGTTCTTTTAGCATTCCATGGGGTAGTAAGTACTTTTCTCCAACACCACAACTTAAAGGCATTTGTTCTCCTCCTGTCATCTTTACTCATTGTCCAACTTTCAGATGCCTAGCAAGTGATTGAAAAGACCAAGGCTTACATCAAGGCCACCTTAGTCTTCAAAGTGACATTATTGCTCTTCAGTAATTTAGATAAATCCCTAACTGCTATGCAATATGTCTCCTCATATCCTGACTGCTGGTATCAAGAGAGTTGATTATGGAGCTAAGTAAGATGATGTTGTTGACATTTTCAATCTTTTCTCCAACTAACGTGATGTTACTTATCAGACCAATGATGAGAATTTTTGTTTTCTTGGCATTGGGATATAATCCATATTGGATCTGGAGCATAGAAGGTGAACACTCTACCCCTGAACCACTACTACCTTCTTTTTGTTGTTGTGTACCAATGAGTTGGAATCGACACATAGCTGACTTTCCAGTGGATTTTCAGAGGTAGTTAATTACATGGAATGAGATTGCCCATCCTTCTCTTTCAAAGCAGCTGGTGGATTTGAAGCACATCTCTCCAGGATTGCAGTGCAGCTTCTTAACCGGTAGGCCACCAGAGGTCTCTTTTAGGAATTAGTAATACAGAAAAATTGTTGGAAAATATTTTGGAAGATGTCTTCGCTATCGAGTGGAGTTCTGGTGCTGTAATCCATAGGGAGTTTCACTGCTAACCCAAAAGTCATATCTCTCTAGATCATTGGAGAAAGATGAGTAATATTTTCTAGTGCAACCAACTGAAACCCAACTGAGGGTCAACCAATGAGTTGGTTTTGACTTGACAGCAATGAGTTATTGAGTTGTAGTTATCTATTACTACTGTAACAGAAGCCTTACAAATGGATGACATTGTTCTTCTTCTTGTTAGGTGCCATTGAGTCGAGTACAACTCATAGTGACCCTATGAACAACAAACAGATCTGAACCCTGTCCTATCCTGTGCCATCTTCACATCTCCTTAAATATTGTATCCCATTATGGCAGTCACTGTGTAAACCCACCTGGTTGAGGGTCTTCCTCTCCTTCATTGATCCTTTATCCTTCCAAGCAATATGTAATACTCCAAAGAATAGCCTCTCCTAGCAAAACACCCAAATTATGTGAGATGAAACCTCATCATCCTGGCCTCCAAAGAGGACTCCAGCTGTGCCTTTTCCAAGACATATTTGTTTGTTCTTTTGGCAATCCATAGGATGTTCAGTGCTCTTCTCCAACACCACAGCTCAAAGGCATCAATTCTTAGTCTGTCATCCCTACTCATTGTCTAGCTCTCAGATGCATTGAAAAGTGATTGAAAAGACCATGGCATGAATCAGATGAACCTTGGTCATCAGATCAGTATTCTTCATTGAATGACCCAGAAAGCATAAAAAAAGAATATGGAAGGAATACACAGAATCATGGTACCCCAAAGAACTAATTGATCTGAAAAATTCCGTAAAGTATCATACCAGCAGGAGCCAATAGTGATGAAGGAGGAAATAGAAACTGCTTTGAAGACACTGGCAAAAATATATGGCCCCAGGAATCAGTGAGATACCAATTGACATATTTCAATTAATTAGATACAGCCTTTCTATTCCAGAAAATTTAGAGGACAGCTGTCTGGCCAACAGATTGGAAAAGGTCCACATTTGTTCCTATTCCCAAGAAAAGTCATCCAACAGAATGTGGAAACTATCAAACAGTATCATTAATATAACATGTAAGCAAAATATTGCTGGAGATAATACCCAAAAAATGGCTAGAATGGTACATAGATAGAAAACTGCCAGAAGTTCAAGAAGGATTTAGAAGAGGAATATTATTGCTGATGTCAGAAGAATCCTGGCTGAAAATAAGGAATACCAAAACAATGTCTATTTGTGCTTTATTGACTATGCAAAGGCATCTGACTGTGTAGATAATGGCAAGTTGTGGCTGACATTGAGAATAATGGGAATCCCAAAGCACTTAATTGTGCTCATGAGGAACCTATATCTGGTTGAGGAGGCTGTTGTGTGAATGGAGCAGGGAAGTGCTACATTGTTTGGAATTGGGAAGGGTGTGCATCAGGGTTGTTTTCAATCTCCATACCTATTCAATCTGCACACAGAGAAAATTATTTGAGCGGCTGGACTTTATGAGGAGGAAAGTGACATCAGGATCAGAGGGAGACTCTTCAATAACACAATCTTGATGGCTGAAAGAAGGGAGCATTTGAAGCACATGTTGCAGAGGATCAAGGAATGCAGCTTTCAATATGGATTGCATGTCGATGTCAAGAAAGCCAAGATTCTTACCACTGGACATATAAGCAATATCCTGAGGAATAGAGAAGAGATTGAAACTGTCAACAACTTCATCTTGCTTGGATCCACAATTAACACACTTGGTACAATCAGTCAGGAAATCAGAAGACATAATGAACTGGGAAAGTCTGCAATTAGGGCCCTCTCCAAATTATTGAGGAGTAATGATGGAGGATTTTAGCAATTAGAAATTTATTTTCCCACAGTCTGCTGCTAGGTGCAGTCTTTGTTTTTTGTCAATACTTTCAGTGCAACTTGGACTTCATCCTTCAATACAATTGGTTTTAATCATATGTTATCTTCTGAAATAGTTGAGTGTTGATCAAGTGTTTTTTGGTGTAGTGACACTTTGTGGTTTTCTCCCATCTTCTTTTATGCATTATGCATCATTCAATTTTGCCTATAGAAACTTTCACTATTCCAACTTGATGCTTGAATTTTTTTCTTCAGTTTTATTGTCTTGTGAAATATTGAGTATACTCTTTCCTTTTGGATTTTAAACTCCAGGGCTTTGCACATTTCATTATAATACTTTGATTTGTGTTCACTAACTGCCCTTCAAAACCTTCTATTTAACTCTCTTCATGTTTCTTCCTTTATCTTCTCTACATTCAAGAGCAATTTTCAGAGTCTCTTTAGACAACTGTTTTGTCTTTTCATTCTTTCCTGTGTTTTTATTTTTCCATTCATATATATTGCATTTCATACATTCCTTTATTCACATTGCATTCCATACAGCCATTCCTATACATTATGTCTTATAAAATTAATCATCATTGATTTATACTCTATCTTTCAGATTCCCACTAGATCTTTCTTAAGTCCTTGACTCACCAAACTTTTTGACCCCATGATTCCTCTCATCCTCTCACCCTCCTGGCCACTCCCCTTCCTTCTTTGGACATTTATATACATCTTACTAGTTATTAGTGACCTTTTACTTTGATCAGGATTATGTTCTTGATGTAATCATATAAATTTTTTGGTCCTTCATGCTTATTGTATCAAATCTATTCTTGAAAGGGTCTCTAAATCCAGGTGGAATATACTCAAAGCTGAATTTGGCTTGTTTTCCTATTCTTCAGCTTTAATTGGCGTTTGCATTTCTCTTAGCTTAGACAACTAGAAGTTTGAATGCAGGTAAGCAGCTTTAGGGGAAGCTTTTTCTCTCTGTGGGTGCAGAGGAAGGCTCTTGTCTCTTCCAATTGTTTCTTGGTTCCTTGAAAATGATCATGTGGCTTGACATCTATCTTTTGCCATGTCCTACTTACCTAGTGTGATCTTTTTTATATTTTGTAAGAGATTTACTCAAGACACATTCTATACTAACCCTGCTTCATTAAAATAACAAAGACAACCCATTTCTTAACAGGGTTTAACCATAGGCATGTTGTTTGTTGTTGTTATACACCATCCAGTTAGAACTGACTCATAGCTGACCCTCTAGTGAGTTTTCAGTGGCAGTGAATTGCACAGGAAGAGATAGCTCATCTTTCTCCCTCTGAGCATCTGGTGGATTTGAACCACTTGCTTTTGGGTTAACAGTGTAATACCTTACCACTAAGCTATCAGAGGTCCCCAAATAGAGATTAGAATTTATAACATAGATCTTCTTTGACACAATTCAGCTCATAACAAAAGTAAGTTTTGACAGAATAAATTTTGGGTCATGAGACTTTTAAAAGTGCAAAACTAAGTGTTTTTAAGGAGGGGGGAATGCTTCCTTGTTTATTAGAAAAATTGATAGACATCATAATTCTTCAAGATTGGAGGAAGACTCTTCAACAACCTGTATTATGCAGGTGGCATAACTTGCTGAAACTGAGGAAGGCCTGAAGCATTTGCTGCAGAGGGTCAAGGACTGTAGTCTGCACTATGGCTTGAAGTTCAAGATCAAGGAAATAATGATTCTCACCAATAGGCCAATTGGAAATATCATGATAAATCGGGAAATATTGAGATTGTTAACAATTTCAGCTTGCTCAGTTCCGTAATCAACACTCTTGGTATCAGTAGTCAAGAAATCAAAAGATGAATTGCATTAGGAAAATCTGCTGTCAAGGACCTCTCCAGAGTGTTAAAGAGCAATGAGGTCAGCCTGGACACTAAGGTGTGCCTGATCCAGGCCATAGTCTTTGCAATTTCTTGTTGTGCATCAGAGAGCTAGACAATGACCAAAGATGACAGAAGAAGAGTTGATGCTTTTGAGTTGTGGTGCTGGAGAAAAGTGTTGAAGATACCATGGATTGCCAATAGAACAAACAGGTCTGTCCTGAAGAGAGTGAAACATAGCTGTTCCTTCGAGGCAAAGATTTTGAGGCTCTACCTCACAAAATGTGGCATATTGCCAGGAGGGATCAGTCCTTGGAGAAGAATGCTTGAAAGGGTGGAGGGACATCATGGGAGAGGGAGACCCCGGATGAGATAGATTGACATGAGGAACTGGGGTAATGAGAGTAGGTGTGTCAGAGACTGTGAGACAGAGCAGGATTCAGAGCTATTGTACATAGGGTCACCAGGAGTATAATCAACTCGACAGCATCTAACAACAACGTAATTCTTAGGTTATGTAGTGATTATAACTAAATCTCCTCTCTCTGCTGTGTCTTTCATCAATATCAAGAAGAGACCAGGTTGAATAAAATTGTCTCAGAGCCGGCTTTCCTCCCCTCCTACCTTAGTTGGTTAGTCAGTAAAGGGACCTTGGCTTTGCAGCCACACTGGGATATTTACCTCAGTTTTTTGTTTGTATTTTAAATTTTGAGGATGTGTTTTCCTCCAGTCTTTTCTAAAGGAGTAAATTTTATTAGAGTATAGTTTAATATGTCATCAAATATAAACACTGGCAGGACATGATAACAAAAAGGTTTAAGACATTATAAGTAGATTGACAAGAGTGAGTGAGAGTTTAAAAATAATGTTTAAATGTTAAAAGAGAAAGAATCTTGAAATTGTAGATATTTTTGGAACAAAAAAGACTAGAAAATCTCAACGAATCAGAAAATCAAAGTGACCACCCCAAAGTGACCAGAGTGATAGCATGTCCTTGAATCAAGCACGACCTTTCCACAGTCATAGCACAGGCCTTCAAAAGGCAGCCAAGGCCTTCACAGATGGCAGAAAGGACATTTGTGGAAGTCCAGAATGAGAAGGAAAATGCTAGCTATCGTTAGACTAGGTGTCCATCTGGACTATATTTTATGCAGTGGTTCCCCCGTCTCATTATAGTAGAGACCAATGCATTGGAGGATTAGATGTATTGTTATGAAACACAATGCCACTGAGTTGATTTTAACTCACAGTGGCCCTCCCCTGGATTTCCAGGACTGTAGATCTTAGCAGGACGTGACAACCCATCTTCCTCCCCAGGAGCCACTGGTGAATTTTAGCTACTGGGAAAGCTTGACCTTTGGTTTAATAGCATAGTCCACTGGGGATTATGCTACCAGAGCTCCTAAGATTGTTATTAGTTGCTTTTAATTCTTGCATTGTATATTAAAGCTGCTTTTAATTCTTGGGTATAAAGATCTGTCTCCATAAGCCTCACTCATGAAATGTACCATCTTTACTACTATAGTTGCCATTTTATATTATGAGGGTATAGGTTGGACAAACACTTTGTGATCACCTGTAGCCAACAAGCTTGGAATCCAGGCCTTTTGTTTCATGGTATCATGATATATACAATATATAGGTAATGCTTTCATCACAGTGAAGGTCTAAAAAACAGGAAAATTAAACTTTTGTGTTCATGTGACACCTTAGTTTGGAAGGTTTTTTTTCTCAATAACTCTTATTCTACCAGTATGATAGGTCTATTTTATGTTATGCCACACTACTCTTGGGACAAAAATAGTACAACTTCTTTTTTGGTAACACCATCACTTCTTGGGTTTGGTGGCCTAGTGATAAGAAGTTGTGTGGCAATTCCAAAGGCTCATGGTCTAAATCTACCAGCTGCTCTGAGGGAGAAAGGTTGGTAATTTCCTCCCAGGCAATATGTTGCTTCTGAAAATCCATGGGAGGGTGAGATATGAGTTTATTCTGGCCCCAACATGCACAATAACACACAACTAAATTATGAGAAAGTATTTGATTCTATATTTTGTCCTTTGACAGAGTATGATGTAAGTTATCCAAAACATCTAAGTTTTAATATGACATATTAATAACTCCATTTTTGATATACACAGCTTCAACTTTCTCTTACTTATTTTCCTATATACAGGACATGCAAAACAATTTAAGGAGCTATTTTTAAATTTATTTTAAGTCTGATGGACCAAGACTCTGTCTTCAAAGTTTACGCTGAGTTTTCAGGTGGATCTTCTAAAGTGTTTTATAATTAATTCTACTTTGATCAGTATTGAAATTTATATAATCTAGGAAGATACAGCTCTATTCTATATAACCGAAAACCAAACCAAATACATTTTAATCAAGTCAATTCTGCCTCACAGCAACCCTCCACCATGTTTCCAAGACTGAAAAGCTTCATAGAGTAGATTGTCCATTTTTCTCATACCAATAAGCTGGTAGATTCAAACTGCCTATGTGTCAGACAGCAATCCACCACTCTAGGTGTTGACAAGACTTTTTTTTTTCTTTTTTCTGTAAAAGGTCAATTAGCAAAGGTCTAGAAAAATGGAAAGTAACTATGTGTGTTGCTTTTTGCTTTTCCTTTGGTTTTCCCTCCATGGATTCAACTCTATTAAAGGAAGTGACTTCTTGAGCTGAGAGTCCTGAAGGCTGAGTTGGTGGTGGTCAGATGGGACGGGTTGTATAGACCAAGAGAGCAATCAGGCAGGGAAAAGAACAGTTGGTAGGAAACAGTTGCTCAAATAAGCCCGAGTCCATGAGCAAGCCTGACTTTAGAAATGGAAGGTCAGCCAGGAGGTCTAATCTACATAAGGCCAGGGAGTGGGGGGAAAAGGGAATGGGTGTGATGAGAGTCAGGAGGAAGAGAAGACAGAGATGCAAAAGAAATTATAATAATTAAGGAGTTGCAGGAATGATTAAATATCAAGTAGTCACATCACTTTCTAAAAGCGACTTGCTGGCAGGCTCATCTAGTTTATTCCTGACCTAATTTATTCAAATTTGAGCCCGAAGGGTACTGCTAATTTGCATGTCCAAGAGTCATGTTTGTCTTGAAATCTAAACCCCATCACATTGTAAACGTGAATCTGGAAAGACAGTAAATGTAAATGCCTGTTCAAAATGTTATTACTTAATTGCACTTGGAAAAGAAAATAATTTTAAAGATGAAAATGAAAGAATCATTAGTAACTGGAATTAATTACTGTTGGCAGAATAGGCTACATACAGTGTGTCAAAAGAAGGCACACTTCTCTAATCGCTTCTGTTTTCCCCCACTCTGTAGGGATTGAGCCGGGGTCTGTTGTCATAACCGACACAGCTGTAGATGCCTTCTTCAAGCCTCGGTTTGAACAGGTAATCTTGGACAACATTGTCACCCGAAGTACTGAACTTGACAAGGACCTGGCTGAGAAGCTATTCAAGTGTAGCAAAGAAATCCCCAATTTCCCAGCCCTTATTGGCCATACAATGTGTACCGATGATTTTTATGAAGGTGAGAACAATTTATAAACCGTGAAAGCCACAGAACATTGCCAGCAAGCCTTTTGTTATTCAAACTCATAACTTATATTAAAAACTCCACTTTAGAAAAATTAATCGTTGGGGATTTAAAAGGGACTGAAACAGCCTTTTTCATTTACTAAAGCATAGGAACATAAGGGCCTAATAAGCTGCAGAGAAACATCCATAATGAATTTATATTGAGTGTGGGCTTAATCCTCCAAGAACAAATTGAATACTAAAATGCAATTAGTGATGTTAGCAAAATCTTATCTCTGTTTATGCCTTTCATTTCAATCCATGATGCAGGGGTGGGGGATAGAAATATGTTAATCTTATGATTCTGCTGTTCATTTGTACCCCAAAAGGATCTGGTATCTGGGAAAGAATGTGGACCAGGAAACAGGGAGACATTGGGGGGAGGGGGAGGGGTCATACCCAAAGGGATGAAGTAATCTTGGAATTGTTCTTCTACCTCTTGGTCAGTACTGATGAATTTTCAAGCCAAGTTCAGAGATTAATGAAAGGTTATTGTCAAGTTGCAGCTCTTGCAACAAGGAGAAAAGGGGGAAATCTCAAGGTCAGGCTGTTCTTTTTGGAAGAAAGTATTTAAGCACAGTTGTTTTCTTAAATACTTTTTAAGGCTGTTTTAGATACTTTGGGAGAAAGTATCTAAACAGCTTGGAGAACATTCTAAAAATCTTGGGCTTATGTAGTTGTGTTTGAATATTTTCATATAAAAAAGGCACATAATCTTATTTTAAGTTGCTTTTCCCCCATTTGGATCAAAATTGGGGTGATATATTACAGTTAGAAAATGACATATAAAGATAGGTTAAATAATCTATAAGCTTTACTTCAGGCCAGTAGAGATGGTGTCATTCTATCACTGTCATAAACTAGGAAGTGTGTTGGTTTGTTAAGAAGGGAGCCACCTTCCTAGGTCACTGGCCTACAGTCACTTCATCTGGAAGGTTACCAAGAGTTTAAGCCAAGACTTGCAAATAGCAGGCTGTTGGAATCAACCTTAGCCATATTTTCTTTGGACTGCACAGTACTGTTATTTATTGTCAATTAGTTAGCAAATATTTAAACTTTCTGGAGATTTCATAAGAGAATACAGATTTTTGGCTTCTTGAAATAATAACATACCATGAAAATATAAAATAATTTATGCATGGCAGCTCTGGCAAGCCCCCATCCACAGCTGGGACCACCTCTGCTGGAGGGAGAAATGGCCACCTCTTTCAGCCCAACTGACCCTCTCATTTCCCAGCATTCCTGACATTACCTGTCTGCCTTCGGGGATATCTGCCTTTGACTCAGCTTCAGGAACACTTCTGTGAGAGGTGCTGACTGGAAATTATAAGGAGAATGGAATGAAGAGAAGCAGTCAGGGTGGACGTAGCACAAGAGAGACCAGAAAGGGAGAAAAAACACAGGAAGGGCAACAGGAAGAGGCCTGTGAACCATTACAGCGTATGAATGCTGTTAGCCCACTTGCTTCAGCGTGAACCGTTCTTGTGGCTGGAGAGTAGAGAAATGGTACATTCCTAGGTGTGTAAAGCATGGAAGAGAAATAATAGACCAGATTTTCTCCATCTCTTCTGGTTTCATTAGTTGATACCAGGGATAAGAAGTGATAAATTAACCCTGAGGGTAGCCTGGAAAGGGAAAAGTGATTGCATCGGGGTGACCTGAGAAGTGTGTGGAAGGAACTCAGGTGGATGGCACAGACTGATTATCTCGAGGTGGCTCTGCTATGACTTGATGGGCTTATGAAGAGGTGCAGTGGCCAATGAATGTCCCCATCTCCAAGTAACTTATGAACATAACTGAGGCCTGAAGTCCCTTCTTCTCCCTCAGCATCTGATCTTAGTTTTAGGTGAACCTCCAAGTCACTGAGGCAACTTGAGATTGTCCTCAAAAGACAGAGCCCTCAATGAACCCCAACATCCTTACATCATTAGCGGTGCAGTAACTCCATAGTCCTTTGCCCCAGAGCTGGAATTCTCAGAACTATGGAGATACTTCCCTACACACAAAGCTTTTGAAACCGGCACAGCCTAGCTCCCCGATCCTCTGATAGAAAGATTCAGACAGTTCCCCCTGGGAACAGGCCTGTCAGCAACTCCACTGTCACCGAGCATGGATATCAGGTTATTTAATGCCTTCCATTCTCTTTCAGGCCAAGGTCGATTAGATGGAGCACTGTGCTCTTTCTCAAGAGAAAAAAAGTTAGACTATTTGAAGAGAGCATATAAAGCTGGTGTCAGGAATATTGAAATGGAATCAACAGTGTTTGCAGCCATGTGTAGACTTTGTGGTCTAAAAGGTAATGTATCCATGAATCCCTGGGGTCAGAATTTTCACCTTTTTTCACTTGTCAGGAGGAGAGAAAGAGACTTGGATTAATATTCTTTTGGGCAGAATGCTTTCCTTATTGTTGTTTATGTTTATAATACATATTATAATGTCTCATGAGGGCCAAGATATTATTCCTATTATGCAAACCACAAAGTCACTCCTCCAGGGTCAAGTGCATTGGTCAAAGTCATTAACTAATAGGTTGTATAGCTAGACCTTGACAATAAGTTTAATTTTTTTCATCCTGGTAATGAATGCCATTTTCCACTAAAATGTATTTATTACAGTAAGATGTAAATAAGATATTCCCCAAACAATCTATCAAAACCATCAGCATGGTAATGTGTTTTAAAAATGTATTTATATGCATTTTTACTTTTCTTAGTTTTTCATTTTGAAAATTTTCAAAAATACAAAAGGTAAAAGAACAATACAATGAATATATACGAAAAATTCACCTAGATTCAACAATTTTTAATATTTTATTACATTTCTCCTCTCTACAAAACACACACAAATGTTTCTTTTTCTTTTCCAGCTGAGCAAAAGTTTACAAAGCACATTCATTTCCAATTTATACACATTTTGTTTCATAATCTTAATTACAACACGTACAATGGAACAACCCTCTTACTGCTTCTACCTTGGGAATTTGTGTTTGCATTAATCTTGGACTTTAATCCCTCCTACCTTTTAAGCTATCTATCCCTTGCCAAATCCTGACCTTTCGAGTTTATGAGGGTGGTTATTGTAAGGAGTAAGTGCCTCCCTGGTGGTGGTGGTCATAAAGAACTCTCTCTCTATTGTTTGGCTGAAGTTTGAACCTCAGAGGTCAATTTTGCTCTAAATTCAAATAGTGATTATGGCTCATGGTCTCAGGGATTTCTTTGGTCTCTGTAAGAAAAACAAGCATGGCCATTTTTATGGCTTTTTTAGTTCTATTTCACACTTTTCTCCCATTTTGTCTCAGATCCCCAACTGTGACCCCTTTTAGAGGGGTCAACATTAGTAGCATCTGGTATCTGGTATTAGGGCATCTGGTTTCAGGTCATGAAGGTTGAAGTTCATGTACCCTTTAATCCTTTAGACTAATTGTTTCTATACAGTGTTGTTCATCTTCTCCCTTTTTTGTCCAGAGATCAGTAGTTGCACTTTGAAAGCTTTCACAACTCTAGTCACGACTCACCAAACAGGATGTAGAACTTTGTCCTTTGTGGTCTCTACATTGTACAAATTGACCTTGATGTTCCCTAAGACTGTTCTTGAGGCCCTAGGACCAAGCAACTTATTCTTCCCTGGTATTTGATTATGATTAAGAAGTTTATGTGACTTGGCCCCCAGGATTGGCTCTGGCATATGCATTGATAAATACATAGCACACACCAAGGTGCACCTGAAACAGTACATGGTCTTTGCAATTACTTGCTATGCATCAGAGAGCTAGACAATGCCTAGGAATAATGAAGGAGAGTTGATGCCTTTGAGCTGTGGTGTTGGAGAAGAGTATTGAATATACCATGGGCTGCTAGGAGAGCAGACAGGTTCATCTTGGAGAGGGTTAAACCAGGATGCTCCTTGGAGTCAAGGATTCTGAAGCTTCATCTGACATACTTTGAACATGCTGCAAGGAGGGACCAGTTCTTGGAGAGAGACATCATGCTTGGGAAGGTGGAGGGACAGCGCAGGAAAGCAAGACCCTCAATGAGATGGATTAATTCAGTGACTGGGGTAATGGGGGTAGGCGTGTCAGAGACAATAAGATTGACACAGGATAGAGCAGGGTTTAGGGCTGTTGTATATAGGGTTGCTATGAGTTGCAGGTGACTTGAAGGCACATTACCACCACAACAACTTTTTTGAGAATGAAGAATTTTTCATTCTTTCTTTAAGAAAGAATTAAAGAAAAAGGAGAAAAAGTAAAAAAAAATTCACTCAATTGCTAGTTCTTGTTGTGTGCCATCGAGCTGTCTGCAACTCATAGTGACCTTACATACATTAGCTCTGAACCCTGCCCCACCCTGAGTCAATCTTGTAGTTTCCAACAGAACTCATGCCATTTCTCTAGTTACTGAGTCAATCCGTCTCATCCTGGGTCTTTCTCTCCTGTCTGGTCCCTCACTCTTCCAAGTCTGATGTCCCCCTCTAAAGACTGGCCTTGTGCCCAAAATATGTGAGACAGAGCTTAAAAATCCTAACCTGCAAGAAGAAACTTGGTCTCACCCGCTTCAAGACAGACCTATTTCTTTTATTGGTGATCCACAGTATGTTCAAGACTCTTCTCCAGCACCACAACTCAAAGGCATCAATTCTTCCGTCATCCTTAGTCATTGCTCTCTGATCTATAAGCAAGTAATTGCAAAGACCATGGCCTGGATCAGGAGCACCTTAGTCTTAAAACTGACGTTGTTGCTCTTCAGTACTCTAGAGAGGTCCTTGGCAGCAGACTTTCCTAATGTAATTTGTTTTTTCATTTTCTGACTGCTGATGCCAATAGTGCTTGTTAATTGTGGAACCAAGAAAGCTGAAGTTATTAACAATCTCAATCTTTTCTCTGTCTGTCATGAAGCTGCCAATTGGCACAATGGTGAGAGTATTTGTTTCCTTGATGTTGAGCTTCAATCAATATTAAAGACTACAGTCCTTGATCTTCTGCAACAAAAGCCTTATGTCCTCTTTAGTTTGAGCAAGCAAGGTTGTGTCATCTGAATAACACAAGTTGCTGATGAGTCTTCATCCAATCCTGATGCCATATTCCTCTTCATAAAGTCTAGCCTCTCAAATGACCTGTTCTACAAATTGATTGAAAAAGTATGGAGACAGAATGCATCCCAGATGCACACTGTTCCTAATTCTTAACTATGCATTGTTTCCCTGTTTTGTTCTAATTAATGTTTTCTGATCCAAGTATAAGTTTCACATGAGCACAATTAAGTGTTCTGGGATTTCCAGTCTTCTCAATGTTAGCCACAATTTGTTGTGATCCAGACAATCAAATGTCTTTGCATAATCAATGAAACACAGATAGACATACTTCTGGTACTCCCTGCTTTCAGCCAAGTTCCATCTAATGTTGGCAGTGATATCCCTAGTGTCATAGCCTCTTCCAAACCCAGATTGTACATCTTGCATTCCTCTGCTAATGTGCTGTTCCAGTTGTTTTTGGATAATTTTCATCAGGATCTTGTTTAAGTATTATATTAATGATATTTTGTTGTTGTTATGTCCCGTCGTGTCGCCTGAGACTAATAGCAACACAACAGCCCTAAACCCTGCTCTATCCTGTGCCAATCTCTGTCTCTGACACCCCCTGCCCCGATTACCACAGTCCCTGAATCAATCCACTTCATAGAGTCTTTCTCTCCTGTGCTGTCCCTCTACCCCCCAAGCATGACATCCCTCTCCAAGGATTGGTCCATCCTTGCAACATGTCCAAAGCATGTCAGACAAAGCTTCAGAATCCTTGCCTCCAAAAAGCAGCCTGGTTTAACCCTCTTTGGAATGAACCTGTTCGTTTTCTTAGCAGTCCATGATATATTCAATACTCTTCTCCAACTCCACAGCTCAAAGGCATAAATTCTCTTTCTATCATCCCTAGTCATTGTCCAGATCTCTGACACATAGCAAATGATTGCAAAGACCATGGACTATATCAGGCACACCTTAGTCTCCACAGTGACAACATTGTTCTTCAGTACTTTGGAGAGTTCTCTAACAGCAGACTTTCCATCACAATTCATCTTTTGATTTCCTGGATGCTAGTGCCAAGAGTTTGACTGTGGAGCCTAGCAAACCAAATCTGTTAACAGTCTCAATCTCTTCACCGTCCATCATGATACTGCCAATTGACCCCATGCTGAGAATCTTTATTTTCTTGATATTGAACCTCAGTCCATACTGAAGGCTGCAGTCCTTGACCTTCTGCAGCAAGCGCTTCAGGTCCTCCTCAGTTTCAGCAAGTAGGGTTGTGTCATCTGCATAATGCAGATTGTTGATGAATCTTCCTCCGATCTTGATGCCACACTTCTCCTCATAGAGCCCAGCCTCTCAGATAATCTGTTCTGCATACAGGTTGAAAAGGTACGGAGATAGGACACATACCTGGCATACACCCTTCCCAATTTTGAACCATGCAGTGTTTCCTTGCTCTGTTCTGACTACTGCCTCCTGGTACAAGTATAGTTTTTGCATTAGTACCATCAAGTGTTCTGGGATTCCTGTTCCTGTTAGTGTTAGCCACAGTTTGTTATGATCCAAAAAGTCAAACACCTTTGCATAATCAATGAAACACAGATAGATATTCCTCTGGTACTCCCTGCTTTCAGCCAAGATCCATCTAACATTAGCTACAATATCCCCTACCTACAATACAATTCCCTACAATATCAAAGGCATAAATTCTCTTTTTATCATCCCTAGTCATTGTCCAGCTCTCTGACACTACCCTTTTAAAACCCAGCCTGCACTTCTGGTGTATTAATGATAGTGTCAGATAATTTGCATACTCTATTGGGCCACCTTTTTTTTTTTTAAATGCAAATAAATACAAATCACTTCCAGTCAGTCAGTTGACTAGGTAGTTCTTTTCCAGATTTCTTGGCATAACTTGGTTAGCACATCCAGGACAGCAATCTCTTTGTTGAAATATGTCAATTGGTATTCTATCAATTCCTGGGGTCTTGATTTTTCCAGTTCTTTCAGAGCAACTTGAACTTCCAACTTCCTCCTTCCTCACCATTGCCTCTTTTTTTTTTAAAAAAAAATTATTGTTGTTGTTGTTATGTGCCGTCGAGTCGTTTCCGACTCATAGCGACCCTATGCACAACAGCTCTAAACCCTGCTCTATCCTGCGCCAACCGCACCGCCTCCGACACACCCATCCCGATTACCCCAGTCACCGAATCAATCCATCTCATAGAGGGTCTTCCCCTCCTGCGCTGTCCCTCCACCCTCCCAAGCATGATGTCCCTC